CAGCCCACTGGGCTCGAGAATCAATTGCGCAATATGATCCTCGGCAACGTTAGCATGGCCGGTGGACAGTCTGGTCAAGACGCCCCGTCAGCACACCGTGGACGCGGACGAGGCCAAGGAAGAGGTCGTGGCCGAGGTCGTGGAGGTTTACACGATACCGTCAACAATTTCAACAGCAACGGTCAGAACCACACAACTCCAGGTCCTACTCCAGATCAAGCTCAAGGATGGCGCGCCCACGCCTCTGCCAACACGGCGCCAGTCCGAGGGGGTGGAAGAGGGTTTGCTTCCAACCAGCGATATCAACAACCTCCGCGAAACTTCCCAGACCAGCAAGGCCCAAATGTCTCTCAAAACGGCCCACAGGTAGACAATCGACAGTATCACTCACGGGGGCGAGGGCGGCCCCATCAACAACAAAATCTGAACGCTGATGGTACATCACGCACACAGCCCCCTAGAATCATGCAACGGCCTCATGATCATTTCGCACTGCCAGGCCAAATCCCGGTAGGTCCAGCATCGACACAGCGTCCCCGTCCACAAGGTCAATATCCTCCTCGACCACCGATGAATCAACCACGAGAGAACTCCATGGCCCAAGTCAAACACTTGGACGCAATTGCAGCAGCCGAGATTCCGAAGGTGGAGATGTCCAGATCCGAGTCGGAGGCCAAAGAAGACTTCCGAAAGCACCTGGAAACCATCATGCAAGAAGCTTTTGCCAGCGGCTACTCTGGTGATATCTCGACTATCTCCTTGGTAGGCTTTGGCAGCTTAGCTTCCGGCTTTGGTATGCCCGGCTCAGACATGGATCTGGCAGTAGTGCCAACATGGAAAGATCCAGCGAGGGCTAGTGATATTGCCATTGATCGTGGCATCCCGCGTTTGCTGGAACGGGCAGTTCTCGACGCCAAGCTGGGTGGCCGTCTACTCACAAGGACGAGAGTACCAATTCTAAAGATATGCCAGACGCCAACCGAGACCTTGTATAATGCTCTCGCCGAGGAACGCCAGAAGTGGGAAGAGCTTCCGAAAGAGGAGATGTACCCTTCAGACAAGCCACAAGAGGCTACCCCACCGCCAAAGCCGCTGGTAGATGTTGATGGAGCAAAAGCTTCAGAGCTTACTGCGCAGTCAGACAGCCCTAACTTTGGTGACGACTTCCCTACACTAGGTGCTGCGGCAACTACCAAGAAACGGCAAAAAGCTCCTGCAAAAGTTGAGACCGCCCAGGAAACCTCCATTACGTCGGCCACCAAGTCAGAAGACAGTGTCAGCAACGGAACCGATGAAAAGGCTAAGAAAGATCAGCATCACCGCCCTGAGAAACATTGGATGCGAGAGAAGGTAGTCGGTCCCCTCGACTTTCCAAAGACGGGCTGCGGTATTCAGTGTGACATCAACTTCGAAAACCCACTCGGTATCCATAACACTCATATGCTTCGATGCTACTCCCTAACTGACCCTCGTGTACGGCCAATGGTTCTCTTCGTTAAGTCATGGGCCAAGCGACGAAAAGTCAACAGCGCATACTCTGGCACTCTCTCTTCATACGGATGGGTACTTATGGTACTGCATTATCTGGTCAATGTCGCCCAACCACCGGTGTGTCCAAATCTCCAACTCGCCGTCCCGCTCCCGAGCGACACAGTAGCTCTAGAGCAGTTCTTCAAGAACACGACTATAGCAGGTTATCAGGTCCGCTTTTGGCGCAACGAGCCGGAGATCATCCAGGCCGCGCAAGCCGGTCGCCTTTCACAGAACACACAGTCTGTCGGTGAATTGCTACGCGGATTCTTCCAGTACTACGCTTCTCTATCCGGGTACGGCTATGGACCCAAGCCCCCGCAATTCTACTGGACCAACGAAGTCCTGTCCCTTCGGACGCCTGGCGGAATCTTGTCGAAGCAAAGCAAGGGCTGGGTGAGCGCGACAACCAAAATCACGGCGGAAAAAAAGGTTACGAATCGGTATCTGTTCGCAATCGAAGATCCGTTCGAGACCGATCACAATGTCGCAAGGACCGTCACTCACCGTGGTATCGTTGCTATCAGAGACGAGTTCAGGAGGGCATGGAGAATACTAAAGGCCATTGGCCAAGGCACAGAGCCCGAAGGTGGAATCTTTGACGAAGTTGTAGAGCAGCCGCCCGCCCAGTCTGAGCCAAAACCTGAAGACGCTCCAAAAGGCACCATGGAAAGTCTTGGCGTTGACGAAGAACCGAAGGACGAACAAGGCAGCCAAGCGAATGCAGTGTAAGATTAGGTGTACATCGATTCGACAGATATGATGTAGGGCTCTCGAAGAGCTGGAAAAGACTATACTATATTACCGAAGTTATGAGATAGGCGATGACCGACTTTGTAATGTATCAACCTCATCTCAAACCTGAAGCCATCCGTCTAATTCTTGATCCATCACCAAGAATTCGTCAAAAGCTGTGCCAAAAAGTTCATCCGGTATGTTGTGAGAAAGCTGCGTTTGCGAGGCATCCTCAAATGCCAGCGGATTAGGGCCAGAAGTGATGTCTCCCGAGAATGAAAAGAAAGACTGTCCATGTTCTCCACCTGCCAGATCACCTTCATCGGTGTCTGTTTTCGGGTCCCTCCCCAATTTACCCAGAACAGCATTTACCGCTCTCACGGCCGTTTGCGCTTCTTTCGAGAAGCCCTGTTGCTGTTCACACACACTTCTCGAACTCTTGAGTGCTTCCACGCTTTTCTGCGCCACTTCTTCCCCGACCAGCCCTTTCTTCATATCATCATTCAAATTGAGACACAGGACTGTTGTGGCCAGCAGGAACTCGGATTGGATCAAGGAAAGGATCTTCCATCGATCAGTATTTAGCATACGGCCTGGCTGGCACTGTTCGAATAATTCTGCTTGCAGCCGCAACATTGTCAATGCTGCGCTTATGCATGTCGAATGGGACAGCTGGTATTTGCTATTCGTCTTTGCAAGGATGATGAACTTGCGGTGGAGGGTAATCTGCGCGTGGTGGTACGACATCGCTATATATAGACGACGAGTGATGAGTTCTGCGCCGTCTAAGATGGATTGTTGCATAGGCTTCAACTTTAGTATGGAAGGCTTCTGGGCATACGCTTTGTTGAGTAGCGTATCTAAGCGCATTGCCTCGGCGTAATCTCGCTGCTTCGATGACGTCGTAAAATCGCAGATCATTCCGTAGACGGAGACGATCCTGCTCTTGTATACTAGGAACTGAGACAGTGTGTGCTCGCTCTGCGACCTTGCAGTCGGTAAGACGGTGGAGGTATCGTCAAAGTCATCATCCAGGAGATTGCGCGGCTCAGCGGTGTCGCATTGAGTTTCTTTAATGATTCGCGGAAGACCGACCTCAGAAGCTGAAGCAATGTCAAATTGTGTGAGGATATACCAAGTACGCCTGCGCATTTCGGCCTCGTAGACACTCATTTGCGGGAAATGCGAGCCATCGCGGTGGTAGCCCATCTTGAGCGCTACGCGTATTATGACGCCCGTCAATTGCCAACAGCTTTGTTGTGTGTCTTCGCCTTGAACGTATTCGGTCTGAAGGAAAGCCAGTAAGGCCTCGATGGTATGCGGTACGCCCTTCATGTAGGTACCTAGCCTAAGACATTGTATCATCTTCTCTCGTGAGATGATGATCAGTCTGTGATATTCGGCTGCTGTCGTCTCGTCCAACGAGGCCGCACCGCCGTTCATGAATAGCGTACAATAGGCTACTGTATACATCATGCCGTATAATATAGTCAGCCACATGGTTGACGTCGAAAGCGGATCTTCCCAAAACGCTTCGTATTGTTTGATAAAGACCTTGCGGTGAATGACAAGTGAGACGGGCATGTCCGCCCATTTGAAGTATTTCGAGATCATGCTATCGACAATTATGCGGGGCGGAATCGCAGCGACGATATCCATTTTTGTAACTGGGTATGTTTGGAGAAGAAACAGGTCGTTTCCAGGGAGTGTTGGCTCAGTATGTTGTGGTTCTTCAACTTGTTCCTGTACCATGTCTTTCAGGTCACTGATCTCATCCAGGATGGCTTTCCAGTGGTCACTCTCGACGTATGAAGACTGATGGTCGTTGAGGTTTATCCGTCCAGCTTCATAGACGAGAGGATCCACCGCGGCGACGGTTTCTGTAGTCTCGTGGGTCGCCAGATTCCCCGGCATCCGAGCATCAGGGAGTTTTTCTTGTTTGTCAAGCAAAGACCGGACGAGCGACTCCAGCTGATCAATTCGTTCCTCGAACGCCTTTCGCGTGGCGCTCTCTATCGGTCTGTCTTTTTGTGGAGCTCGCGGAAGTTGGGGTAGAGGGAAGCTGCACCCTGCCACTTTCCCTAGTCGAATGCAGCTCCCGCAAGGCTTATTTCGATCACATCGAAGTCTAGACATTTCTTGTTAGGTGTCTTGGTAATAAGGTAAATCACTTCCTTACTTTCTCTTCCTGCAGAAATCACAGGATAGCTGGGCCTTCTCCCGACCTCTCATTCTCTCTAACAGTCGTTCCGAGGAAATAGGCGAATTTGTCATCTCTCTGGTTTGCTTCAGGCGTACTTAGGAGATGATGAAGTGTTTAGGACATGCTGACCATAGGTAGTGATCTTGGTGGCAACATAAGCACGATACGCACGGAGGAACTTTGGTCGGCGGCTATATACATGGGCCGTATCTTACCAGAGCGTTTACACTAAATCGCACATTCTTCCTATTGGGGTCGTGTGCGTCAGAGTAATCGAAGTAAGCCTACGGACGGCAGGTGGCTTAAATGTGGGCCCAAACGGACGTCCGCTGGCCTCTGATTGGTGCAATGCTCCGCGTCCACGAGATTGCATTGCAAGCAGGCATCAAGTCCAGGAGCTGGTAGAAGTATAAGATGGAAAGGAATCTAGATGTTGAGAATGCTGCAAAGAAAGATACTTCAAACTTTATCATCATTCAATATCTTGAGAACGCACATCTAGTCACTTCTCCGAGTCCTCATCTTCTACACGATGCCTACCAATCTCGCAGCATGGATGCCAGCACCGAAGCAACGCATGGAAGTCTCGGAAGCGCCATTTTCTACTCCTGGGCCCGATGAAGTTATCGTCAAGAATCGTGCAGTGGCGATCAATCCCGTGGATTGGGTTTTGCAAGACCAGGGCACCAGTATGGCGTTCGGTTGGATCAAATATCCTTTTGTTTTCGGCTTTGATGTCGCTGGCGAAGTGGTTCAGATCGGCAGCAAAGTGGTACGGTTCAAAGTAGGAGACCGTGTTCTAGGTCAGGCGCACAGTACAGACAAGAAGATCAACAGCGCGGCATACGGAGCATTCCAGCTGTTTCCCGTTCTCCTGGAAAGGAACACATCGTCTATTCCAGACAGCTTGTCATTTGAATCTGCTGCAGTGATACCTCTGGCTTGCACTACCGCTGCAGCAGGGCTGTTCGAGAAGGATCAGCTCGGTCTGCAATATCCTCAACTTCACCCGAAACCGACCAGAAAGACGGTCCTTGTCTGGGGAGGCTCGACTAGCGTAGGCTGCAACGCTATCCAACTCGCTGTTTCCGCTGGATACGAAGTCATAACAACATCTTCGCCAAAGAACTTCGATCTCATGAGATCCCTCGGTGCTAGCAAAGTCTTCGACTACAACGACCCCTCTACAGTCGACAAGATCGTCGGGGCCATGGAAGGGAAAGAATGCGCGGGAGCCATGTCTATTGGAGAGAACGCAGTTTTCCATTGTCTAGACGTCATGGGTAAATGTAAAGGCAATAAGCGTATTGCGATGGCGACCTATCCAATCCCGGCTCAACCGAAGCGATTTGTCGCACTGCAGATTGTCTGGAGCTTCACCACTTCGATGATCTCTATCATCATCAAGTCACAGTTGCGAGGTATCAAGACAAGTTTCGTGTACGGATCGGTGGCGCATTCCCCTGTCGGCGAAGCCGTGTATGCTGACTTCCTGCCTGAGGCACTCGCGACTGGCCGATTCAGAGCAGCTCCCGAACCTAGCATTGCTGGAGAGGGTCTAGAAGCCATCCAAGGAGCTTTGGAGATACAGAAGAAGGGTGTTTCGGCAAGGAAGGTGGTTGTAAGCCTGAAGTGATCCTGAGATTTGGCACATGGTCTTGAAGGTTTGCTGTCCTGGTACTTTCTCAGTAGAGAAGCACGGAGTTTACTACAATTTTCGATCAATAAGAAGTTTCCAATGTGTGCACTTTCTCTCGACGGAAACAATTTTTCCACTTTTCCATCCACATAGCTACCCTTTTCAATATACTGACCGGCCCGTCTTCACTCTGATCGGCAAATTTCTGGCTTCCAAGCCTTTCTGCACTAATCGGGCCAGGACGAGATCGGTTCCTTGCAGAGTCAGAGACCGGGCATGCGGACAATTTGGTGCTCTATCGATAGCTTACCTGGAGCTCCTATGATCGATGCCGCCACCGGCATAGGCTCTTCACGTTGAGTAACGGTCGAATGATACGTGATCTCGCCCACTGCAGTAGTATCAGTACATGTAACACACGTGCTCGGCGACGCATTACCTATTGCAGTGAGTTCCGGAGCGCGTAGCATAGGAGACATGTTCAACGACGAATACCCGCTGAGAATGGCGTAAGGTCTATTTGTACGTAAGTGAGTGGAGTCCTGGCAGCATATCTGTCTTACTTACGGCAGCACCGCGTCGCGATAGTTGGGTCTTCCCTCTTCGATCGGAAATACCATGATGGTGATGCAGTCTTTGTTATCTGTATCAAAGACCCTGTCTAGAAGCCACTTTCGGTAAAGCTCAGAGCGTCGCCAGTAGAAGTCTCGCTCTTCTACTGTAATCTTCTTCGACACATCCCTGTCAGTCGACGGTTAGTGTGAAGCAAAGCTATGTGTCGAATAAGATATCACCTACCATTGCCAATGCATCGCTCTGTGTACGAAAGGCGGCTTTCCGTGTTTTTCCTCGTAGAGCTTACGGAAATCGTGTAGATTGTGATACGAATCATGGTAGTACGGGTAACTTCCGGTCTGCTAATGATTTAGTAAAGCTAGTTTTGGTGTTGAGGTACGAAGAGTACGTACAAGTCGAAGATATTCCGCTAGATCGGCATTATCGTTTCCATCTGGGCACTCTAGCCTCCACTGATCTGCTAAGGAGATGATGGTCCTTGTAGTTCCCAAAGCGTACTCTAAGCCCGTGACGAAATTGTCGATAAGCGAAGATTGCGCCATGTTGGAAGTGGGAAGGTAGTCTCGGGAATACAGAATCCTGAACCTCGTCTAGCCTTGCATCAGCAAAGTATGTTTGAGTAGAAGATATGTAACTAGGACTGACATTTGAAGGTTGTCGAAGCACGGGTGAACTCCCATACCATACTGATATGAAGTCTGCGAACTTTGATACATCTCGACCAAAGAATACGGGCATATCGAACTTGCTAAAAGACAAGGACGTCTGTCAGTCGGTGCAAGCAGTCATTAGTCTTGCTAACTTACTTGAACTGTCCGATGACTCCGTTGGTACTTAGAATGCCTGTGGAGGGTCGGATCGAGAAGCATCCATTGTATGACGCTGGCTTCCGTCCACTTCCGTTTGCTACATCAATGTCAGTTTACCGATAGGGTGATAGCAGCCATATATTATAGCGGCGCGAGAAGATGTAGCGACTGCGAACCACTTACTGTCCGAACCAAGCGAAAAGTCCAGCCAGTCATATGATGCTATGCCTGCAGCGCTCCCATGACTGCTTCCGGAAGGGACTTGGTAGCCGTCGCCCCGAGGATTAAACGGTGCTGCGAACTCCACACACTCTAGTGGCTCCTCCCGCATGATCATTGCTTGCAGCTTGGTTTTCCCAACGATGATAGCCCCAGCGTCCACCAGAGTCTGGACGCAATCTGCGTGTTTGGATCTGGGTGGGTATAAATCTTCCCAGGCACGATTGCATAGGGTGGTCTTGTGGCCAGCGATATCAATGTTGTCCTTGACGCTGATTCTTGCACCATCAAGAGGGCGGGCACTGCTCGGATTGAAGTAGCATCGTGATGGTACCAGGACTCTTCCATTGAGTCCAGCCTTTGGTTCGTCGACTTTGACTAGAGTAAGCGCAGTTAGTTTTTGATGATAGAAGATGTGAGAAGCGCTTATCTTCCAGTACTCTCAGACCCTGGCTTGAATGTACACATGAATGTACCGTTAAAGTCGCTGTATACTCTCCAAGGCTGCCATGTTCGCCCATGAACGTATACGTACGGGCCGGTCCGCACAAGCCCATGGTTTGTTCCTGGAACGAAGCTCCACGTTTTGGTACCCCATGTAGCTAGTGCCTCCAAAGCATCTTCCTTAAACTCTACCTCATCCTGATTCGCGCCATAGAAGACAACAGTGTTGGTAAAAACCGGCTGAAAGACATCGTCTTTTTGGAGCCTTTCGGTTCGCAGCCTCTCGAGAGTGGATTTCGATATAACATGTCCTGGTTCGACGACACAAACGAGAACCAACGTTAGAGTGTTGTGATCGAAACTAAGGAAGTTCTGTGATGTTTAGCGCGCGATTGCGGCAAGGAAGAGAATGCTGTGATTACTTGACAATGCTCAATCAAGACGAAATCAACGTCATTGACACGAATCGCTATCTCTTCTTCGAGCCGAATGTCGGAGGTGTCGAAATGATCAAGCTCCAGCAAAGGCAGTGCTGACTGTATTGACATCGTCGTCTTGAGAGGGGCGGGGTCTCGCATAATGTAATTCCACAGAGAACGCACGTGGAGGACGGAGCAAGAAGACGGAGGAGAAAGGTTTCGAGTAAAGGAAGTCGCGAGGTCTGCCCAACGCGTTTGGTATTCGTGCCCCATGCAAACACCACCAACCACATTGCCGCTGGACCAACAAACGCACGGGCGAAACCACCGCGCCCGCAGCCTATCACGTACGTGACTTTGAATCTGACCCTGCGAGCGACCACTTCGAACGACCGAAAGAAACGCGGGGCGTTTTGACTCCGCAATTTGTGTGAAGGACGATCGCTGCATGGGGAGCGTGCAGAAGGTAGTCAAGATAGGTTACCTACGGAGAAACCGGGTTACTCCATGCATATTACGAGACCAGTTCCATGTAAAACACTGACCAGTGTAAATCTAACTGCCTGGGTATAATCTACATCTTGATATCAAAGCTCGTCCCGCACCCACAACTACTCGTCGCCCCTGGTATGCCAGTGATCTTGAACTGGCTCCCGATCAACTCCATGGTATAGTCCACCGTGCTTCCATTCAACAGCTCCAGACTCGACTCATCGATAACGATCTTCTCTCCCTTCTCTCCCTCAAATATGGTATCTTCCTCTGTCGCCGGGTTCTTGGATAGGTCGGTCAAGTCCATGAGGTACTGGAAGCCGTGGCATCCGCCGCTCTCGATGCTTACGCGCAATGCGAGGTTCGGATTGTTATCGCCCGAGGAGATCTTCTGAAGCCGGTTCGATGCACGGGGTGCTATCGAGATCAGCATGGGGTTGCCGGAATCGTCGGTGCGTGGGTTTTGGATCGCGCGGGCGGGCTTTGCGGTGGAGGCGTCGGATGATGTGGCGAGGGCTCGTCGTGGTATGTGTTGTGGTTGTGAGAATGCTAAACCTTGTACTGGGACAAGTCTTGAAGTCCCTCGTGGAGATGATGGCGCAAGAAAGTCGAGGAATAGCGATGGCGAAGTGGCGTGCGGTGCTGCTCTGCTGTACGCTCGCATTGATTGAGCTGCGGCGGCGATAGGTTGGGCCGGCCGCCGTGTCGTTGTTTGTCTTGCTATCCGCAGGCACGACGCGCACATGGTTGAAGGGGAGGCCATTATCGCGATATCGAGGATGTGGATGGCGCTGTCGCGATGAAGGACCGCGAGTCTGAGGTCATAGCTAGGAATGTCACGCCCGACGGGATCCAATCAGACGTGCCCTCACACTCGGGGTTCTAGACCCGCTGAGTCAGGCACAAACCCCACCTTGTGCCGCCGCCACCATCCATCGTACGAGCACCAGACTGTTCCAGCCTTACCCGCTCAAGCTATCTACTTATCGTCCCTGAAGCCTCAATGATAGTGCTACAGCATCTCTGCACAAGCTTTGTCTTGTCCGAATCCCGCTAACTCTTCTTTCATCACCAGCTGCCATGCCCAAACACCACAACCCTTATCTCGCTATTCCACAGGCGGAACTGTGCACCGACGACTTTGCGAAAAAGGAAGATAAGAAAGATGACCTGAGCAAGTTGAGGGACGAATTCGTGATTCCGACAAAGGGCGACCTAAGGAACAGGAAGTTCGGGTTTCAGCAGAACGGAAAACCTGCGAACACGCGCGAAGACGACGGTGAAGAGTCCATATACTTCTGCGGCAACTCCTTGGGACTGCAGCCTCGGAGGACCAAGGAATATGTGAATCGCTACCTTGATACTTGGGCATCTAAGGGCGTATTCGGTCACTTTACCGATTACGAAGGAGGCCTGCCGCCATGGCTACACATTGATGATGCGATAAAACAAGAAACCGCGAAAATAGTCGGTGCACTGCCTACCGAAGTCGTCGTAATGGAGACATTGACTGCAAACCTGCATTTGCTTATGGCAAGTTTCTATCGACCGACCAAGGACAGATACAAGATCATCATCGAGGGCAAGGCGTTTCCCAGCGATCATGTAGGTTGATGCATACATGCTATCAGCGCTTGGTAATTAATGACTTCTTGTAGTACGCAGCTCTTTCTCAGATCGCCCACCACAACCTCGATCCATCTGCGCTTGTTACCATCGACCCGCCCTCGGCCTCCTCACCCTACCTCTCCAACGAACACATCCTCTCCGTCATATCACACCACGCGCCTACAACCGCACTAGTGTTGTTACCTGGTATTCAGTTCTACTCGGGCCAGTTCTTCGATATAGAACTCATAACGCGTCACTGCCGATCACTGGGTATTACAGTGGGCTGGGATCTAGCGCATGCAGCTGGAAACGTCCCGCTGAAGCTACACGACTGGAACGTAGACTTCGCAGCGTGGTGTAACTACAAATACATGAATGGTGGTCCAGGAGTCATCGGTGGACTCTTCGTACACGAGAGGCACGGAAGGGTGGAGCAAGTGTCTACATCTCGAACAGACGGCACAAACGGCGTAGTCAGTAACGATACCGAGCTCGCCTATCGACCACGGCTGAGCGGCTGGTGGGGAAGCGATAAGAGCAGTCGATTTCGAATGGAAAACAAATTTGTTCCCATTGCTGGTGCAAGCGGATTTCAACTCAGCAATCCCAGCGCACTGGATATGACTTCCGTCATGGCATCGACAGACGTCTTTGCGTTGACAAACATGGATGCGCTACGTCAACGTAGCCTTAAACTGACCGCATACCTCGAGGCACGCCTCCTGAAGTACGATGGAGGAGAGCCACCATATAAGATAATCACACCCGCAAACCCGGCTGAACGAGGCGCGCAGCTGAGTGTACTTCTTAACCCGGGGTTATTGGATCAAGTCCAACACTACATCGAAGAGCGTGGTGTCGTTGTTGACGAAAGGAAGCCTGACGTTCTGCGCGTTGCGCCTGCCCCACTATACAACTCATTCCACGACATTCATCGATTCATTACTGTCTTCCACGAAGCTTGTCGCGAGGCCCTGAAGGGCGCTGGGCAGAAGGGTGCGCATAACGACGGAGTACCCCAAGGCATTGCCACTGTATGATCAGTACCTTTCAGTGCGTTGGTTCAAGCGACATCTGATCGTGAACGAAAAGCGATGTAATTTATAATACAAGTAATACATATACCCAAGCAATACAGCATTTTCCAGATATCATGTTCAAAAGCTACATTCAAGAACGTCAACACTATATGCAAAACACCGTCATGATCCAGAACCAGATGAACCCCACGGCGCGCCCGGACGATCATGCATCGCCTATGCTACGCCTTTGCGAAACCAAACCGCCTATGCCTTAAGCGCAAAAGAAAACAGGCTATCCATCTGCACCCACTGCCTTCCATTCCTCTCCAACCACCGCTCCACCACACCTTTCAGCGTGCCAAATCTCTCTCTGTTGACTTCAGCCAGTACCTTGATCTTCTCCTTCCTCTCCATGTCTTCCGTCTTGACACCACCATCCATTTTACCAACACGGTCGACGTCGAACAAGGATTGGTAGTATAACAGCTGGTTCCAGACGTCGCGCTCCTTGATCTCGTAGGTCATTTTGCCCAAGCAATCTCGAGCGAGTCCCTTTGGACCAAGACACCGGTGTCCATAGACGGATATACTTCGCGTCCGGTTTGAGCACTGGGGATCGTCGCATACAACGTGACCTGCGTAGTAGGAAGCGAGAACTTGGCGGATGGAGGATTCGAGCTGAGCCACTACACTGATGTTCTGTAGTATCTTCCCACAGCCTTCAGCAGGACATTGTATACCACTGTGCGAGATGGTCTGCAACGATACCGACGTTGGTGATGTCGAAGAGAGGCCTTGGAATGGGAATACTGTCGTACATCCTCGGCAGCGGAGCCAAAGCGGCGAACATGATTGGAAGCGCACAGAGTCTGGGATCTGTGACTCCAGAGGGTGGATTTCGGTGTCTTGTTGTGCGCCTCCTGAAACGGTACTCACACGGTATTTGGATGTGTCAAGGCCAAGACACGCTGCGAGGAGAGTGATGTTTGTTCCGCTGATGGGCGCGCAGAGACGCTCCACTGGTGGCAGAATTTGCTTGTGGAGGTAGTAGTCAATGTCGGGCTTCAGCTCACTGTCGGTTTTCAAAACTTCGTCAACGGGATATGCGTTCTTTGCTGCGCTCTCGGCCGAGCCAGATGATTCACCTGTGATGATGAAGCTCATGACATCTTTGGCCTTGACGTGTTTACCCTTGGCTTGAAGGCGAAGTGCGACTTGGACAGAGGGCATCGAGTTACCGTTGGGGTACTCCTTGGGGTTCTTTCCGAGCTGCGTGTAGATGGTGTACTTGCGAGCTGGAACGGCGTACTCGCGCATCTGTTTGCTCAGCTCGCGAAGGTGGTTGTGGATCTTCTCAACGACTACTTCAGGATCTTCACCACTAAGTAGGAAGTTGAGCAATTCCCTATAGCATTGTTAGTACGCCGTTATATATACCTCCGTAGGCTGGAGAACTTACGTTGATGTCTCCTTGGACAGAGCACAGTACTCCCTGCGCCTCATGTCGAGACCTTTGACTTCGAGTTTCTCGATGTACTTGCCATCGACAGGGACCATGTTAATGGCAGCATATTTCTTCTTCGCATGCAGCAGGATACGGCGGAAGACGTTGTCGATGTCGATCTCCAAAAGCTTGTAGCTGTCGTTGACCTCTTTCTTGAACTCGTTGCCCAGCTTCAGCGCATCCTGAATGTTATCGACGTTTGTGTTGATCATGACGGAATCAGTGTCACCATAGATGACGCGCAATGCCTTCTCCTCGGCCATGTCCTTGGTTTTGCGGAGAATCTCACGACCCTTGTATGTCGTGAGCATAGCGAGTGGTCGAGCGTAGAATCGAGACTTGGTGTATCCCAAACATCCGTACATAGAGTTGGCAGTGAGCTTCAGAGCCATTTGCTTGATGTCCCAAGTTGCCAACTCATCTGGAGTGGCATCCTTGGCCTTCATGAGCTTCTTCACCTCGCGACGTCGTGAGACGAGTGTAGCAATAAGGCGCGGTAGGATACCTTGGTCTTGGTTTGTGGGGACTTCGGGCACCTTGTCGTCATCTTCCGAGAGATCTGATCGTTCGACGGTGGTGAAGCAAATGTTGAACTCCTGGATGATACTGGGGTAAAGGGAGTTGAAGTCCATGACCAGAATAAACTTGTCGTAGAGACCCTTCTCGGGCTCGAAGACAAGACCACCTTTAAACTTGTCCTTCTTTTTGGCATCCGCACCTTCTTCGCCCTCGGCTGCTTCTTCCTCGGCCTTTACTTTGCTCTTGCCCCACTGTTTATCCGGGCAAATGTACTTGTTCTTGTGGAACTCGTGGAGCAAAATGTACTCGTTACGTTCGGCACGAGTTCCACTCAGTGTTCGGGCCCAGGAGTTACCCGCCAAGTTGGTGAGAACCTTGGTGAGTGGAAGCATTTGCACCTTTATCGAGATCGCAGCGATGAAGTAGGCGTCGGCTTGGCAGTGCTTGATGTAGTTGAGGAGACCCTCCTTCGTCGTCGCCCAAGTCTTGAGCGCGGCCTCGTTGTCGAGCTCTTCACGTCGCTTGTTGAGCCCAAGCTGGACCATCTCCTCAAGACTCCACGATTGACACTTGGGCATCAGAGACTTTCCGAGATCATTAGCCAGGTCACACAGCAAGCGGCCAGAAGCTAGTTGCTTCTCAGCGAAGAAACTTCCGCCGCCCTTGCCCATGCTCTTGGGCCAGTCGCTTCTCTTGAGTCGCCCAATGCGGTGCCATCCCGGTGTCTTCTTTTCACGCAGACGGCTTAGCAAAACGCTGTAATCCACGTCGTCCAAGCGATGTCCGACGAGGACGTCCGGGTCGTGCCGCTGGAACATCGCCATCAGCAGGCTCAGAAGTTCCTGCTCAGTCTTCTTCATGTACATGTTGCCCTTAACCTTCTCCACTTCTTTGTCAAAGCCTACTGGGAAAGCTGCGCCGTTCGGCCGCATAATGGTGAAGCTCTTGCACTGCATCTGGTCCACGGGTGTCGTGTCGGTCAAGGAGAAGTTGTCGTAGATCATAGCACTGGCGACCAAGATCTCTTGCTTGTTGTCCTTCGCGTTGAAAGTAGTCCGTAGGGAGAGACTCATGAGTGTCATTGGGGGTGCGTCAAGATTGTCCGACGCACTGACGACTGTTATGTTGTTGGGCTTGCTGACTGCAACTTCAAGCTTACACCAAGAAGCGTTTGCAACAGAACCAAAGTCGGGAGCATCAATCTTGAGCCAGCACGGTCCCATGACGTTCTTCCAGAGCACGAACTGCTCGAAAAGGGATGTGTTGGTTCCGAAGACGTGAGAAAATGTTTCACCCTTTAGATCAGAGGATAGTGGCATTTTGTCGTATCCATAAAGGAGCTTCAGGTAGTCGGCTTCCTTTGGTATGTCGGGCAACTCGAAGGCGTACTTCCTAGTACACGGCTTAATCTTGTGTAGATTTACGCGGTGCTTGCTCATAATAGAGTCAACCTCGTCTGATACATCGCTCAGGCCAACCTCTTCGTCGGTGGTTACCCCTCTGATGTGACGGTATTCACGGGGTAGGAAATATAGCTTTCGGAGGATGTTATCGACCTTCACAAAGCAACTGACGTAGTTGCCCGACTTCTTGTCCTTGACCTTGCCGAATAGACACAAGCTACCGTTGATTTCGGTGTAGTCAATCCAGAACATGCGTAAGCTACCATCCTCTTCCACCGCGTCCTGTGGTTGTATCTTGCCCATGCCAGTGGTCGCTGGAGCGGGGCTGCTCATAACGTTGAGCTTGCTTGTAACGTCGTTCCAGGAAGAAGCATCGACAGGTGCTGAAGAAGGTGCAACGGGCGACGAGCTGGCGGGTGTGGGATAGTCTTCTTTCTTGAGCTTTGCTATCGGTCGCCTACCCGCCATGTTGACACTGGTGATTGGCACACCAAGATGTGTCGTGGGTTGAGCAACCTCCATGAGGTCATCTTCGTCTTCTTCTTGTTTGATCGCAGGCTGTGCTCTTCGTTCTACGGCTTTGGCGACAGGTGACGATTGTAGTGGGAGGTCGCTCATAGGCTGATCATCGTCGAGTACGGGGAGGTCGTCATCGTCGACGTATGCATTCGTTGCCGGTGGTGTATCTGGCATGTGTGCGTCTGAATCATTGCTTCGCCTTGTAGTCGGAGCCGGTCGGTTCTCCGAGATAGGAGGTGAAAGTACGCGTGTTTTTCGGCGTGCCTCTGTTTTGACGGGTCGCATTCGGTTCGTGGATAAGCGGACGGGGTTTGTGTTCATCTCGCCTAACAGGTCCTCCATGAAGTCCTTGTCGGCGGCGGTGGCAACAGGCTGGGTGCATTAGCATTGAGATTGGGTGGGGTGATGTATTACAGTATTATACCTTTGCTTTAGGTGCCTTTGCAGCGTTCTTCGCACTGAAGTACTTGCTGATGCCATTGTCGATCTTTTTTCGCTTCTCCTCGTCTTCTTCGCGTTTCCGCTTGGCTATCACGCGTTAGCTGTAAGTCGTGCGTACGCTTGATGATTGACACCATACCAGCCTTGCCCTTGGCGGGCCGCTCGTCGTCTTCTTCGCTATCCGTGGCAGCATAGTGGTATTGACCCTGTCCGTCATCCCACTCTTCTCTGCCGTCATCAACGTATCCCTCGCCCTCGTCGCCGACGACGAAGTCATCTTTATCCAGTCTTCCCCGCACAATCTTCTTGTACCCCTCTTCGTCGACCTCGTCGTACAATTGCTCCTCTTCGGCGACTTCGTATGTGGACAAACGCGTCTTGCCCGCCGCGCGGTTCGCTCGCAATTCGGCTAGTAGGGCAGCGCCAGTCTTCTTCCCTACACGCGACATGATGAATTATAACGTATAGGGTATGCGAGCAAAAGGCGAAGTGAAGAAATTGGGGTATCGGGTGCTTTCGTGGGCGTGTTTGGAGGGCTGGCGGGACGACAGGTTAAAGTGCAGGAGCGACGCGCTAGTACCGTGCACGCGACGCGACGGACAGTCAATTAAGCGCGCCAAGCCACTACCCGAATTCGTACAATCTATTACTTGCCCGCTACAATGCCCCTTCAACACCCCACCATCATCATGGCGACAGTCTCTAAAGCCCCTCTGGTCTGGATAGACTGTGAGGTAGGCTTGATCGAGATTTGTTGCAGTATTTCGTTGACCCTGTTAGATGACCGGCCTGAACACTGACAATGACACCATCATGTCTCTCGCCGCATTCGTCACTGATGCAGACCTCAACATCCTTGACGAAACTGGCTATGAAGCCGTAATACATCACGACAAGGAGCAGCTCGATATTATGGGCGAATGGTGTACTAGCCATCACGGTCAGTCGGGTCTGACTCAAGCCTGCATCGATTCCACCACCACTGCCGAAGAAGCAGCAGAAGGGCTACTTGCCTACATCAAGAAATTCGTACCTGAACGCCGCACTGCTTTGCTTTCTGGGAGCTCTGTACACGCCGACAAGTCTTTCCTCGTCAAGCAGCCCTACAAGGTTGTCACCGACTACCTTCATTACCGGATCATGGACGTCAGCAGCATCAAGGAGGCTGCTCGTAGATGGGCACCCAAAGCTACTTTGAAGAAGATACCACGAAAGAAGATGTTGCATGAAGCACGTGCAGACATTCTGGAGAGCATTGAGGAGGCGAGGTACTATCGTGAAGCGTTCTTTCTGCCACCAGTGAGCACAAAAGAATCGCCACAAGAATGAAAGGGGTTCTAGTAATAGCTTCATAAGACATATTATTAAAAACACTTCGTTGTAATAAACACTCCGTCATGGGTTTAAACGACTCGTAACCGTAGATATTTGGCTTCATTACTGCACATCACCTTGAGAACCTTGAGTTGATGTGCCCGTCTTCTCGCTTCAGCCAAAACAGGATCAGCTTCCGTGGTCAAGGACCAGATGTAAAGGTTGCGATTTTTCATCGCAGGGTATCATGTATTTACTGTTGTTCTATCGACACACCCTCAGTGCCATCATGTGCCTGCCAAAAGCACCCTGGATGTCTGCCTCTCCACGATGATCAGCTCACTTCTTCCCAATGCTGAACCCCCTCGTCATATAATCCGCACTATTTCCTGCCGATGCCTTGTGCTCCTTCTTGTTGAACAGACTGTTCACGTTGTCATTCTGAGCCATCTTCCTCTTTTTGTTGCGCTCTTCCTGCTCTTCAAGGACTTTTCGCGTCAATGAGGCTGTGGCAGAGTTCTTGATGCCGTCATTCGCCGTTGTTGTAGATTTTGCTGCAGCCTCCTTCTTTGCCTTTTTATCTTCGTCTGATAATGTTGGTTTCGCAGTGCCGTTCTCGGCGGCAGATGCATCGCCGTGTTTCCGCTTCTTCTTGCTGCCGGGTGCTTTCTTGAGCGCATGTGTCAGGCTTTTTTCCTTCAAGGTCTTCATACGCAGGTTCAATCGTGCGATATCGGTCGCCGCGGTAGGTAGGATAGGTATGATGTCGTTCTCTGCGTACGGTTCGTTACACTGGAAGTAGGTCAGTCATCGCGCCTCAGGTTCAAAAGTCCAATTGGTACGTACTGCCAAACACGCCCTCTCAGCAACTTCCTTGACGACACTTCCCGCAAATGCATGTCCGCAAGGAACAACATAGACGGCTTTGCTCCCCGGTCCTAGCCTCTCGCCTGTGATCGGGCACTTCCACTTCTCTCCCAAAGTCTTCTGCACCTCACCACCATCTTTCTCCTCGATTTCAAACTTCACCTCCACGACATCTTTCAGCCCCTTAACTCTATCCCCGAACGTGCCCAGTTCTGAATCTTTCACACCCCCAACCTTCTTCATCTCCGCCTTCTCTGCATCCTCGTCGTCCTTCAGAAGAAACTCAATAATGGAGTCCTTGTTGTACAAAACGCCAGCTGCATCTGAAACCACAGGACGAGCGAGAGGTTTGCGCGTAAGAGGATCGGTGGACCAGGCGTATTCTTGGTGTTCGGTTTGCGCCTCCTTGATTTGAGCGGTTGTGAGCGCTTTGGCGGCTTCTTTAACGAGTTCGCTGCGCTTGGGAATCGAGCCACCGTCGTTACCCATTTTGTAGGGCTTGGCTTCAAAAGTAGGTGATCGGGTGTGGACTGGTGTGCGAGCGATGGTGGTGAGAAGCCGAGGGCGTGCGGCGAAGCGCGGAGGTTCGAGTAGTTTTGGGACGTGCACGTGCCAGCTTAATCATACCTAGGTATTGTGGGAGAGATCAATGTTAGAAGAAAGCAACTCCCTAGTACAAAAGAATGGTCCTGAAGCGATGAGAAAGCCGCAGTGTCTTAGGAGCTATGTATTTCAACTAGAGGATACAATGATACTGTACAAGAAAAGTGTAGAATGCTCTTGCTAAGAGGAAACGCCTCGTTATTGTCGTAGCCTACATATCCCGTAGCTCTCCCGTTTCATCAACCTTAAATGACCGGGGTCTCCTCTTTCGCTCGAATGGCTTTGCTGGCATGGCTGGCCGCGAAGGTCTCTCTAGTGGCCTTGTCCATTCCTTCTTCCACGACGGTCGTTCATCGCCTTGCTCGCTTTGCCCGTCTTCATTTTGCAGATATCCGTGTGGATCGGCCTCTTCAGGTGGCTCTCCACGCACTGCATTCGCCTGCCCACCCTTGAACATAACCCTCTGGATGAACGCGGAGAGCCTGGCTCTCTCTTTTTCAAACGGACTCTTTGACTCCTCAGCAATAAGTTTCGAAAACAGTAGCTTATCGTATACGCCCTGTATTTTCTTCAGCGCATCAATGGCGTCTTGTCTCGCTTCGCCCTTCAAGTATTGCGGGCCGCGACGCCCATAGTTCGTCTGTCCAGCACCAATGGTCAGTTGAAGACGGATGTTCTTCACGAGGGGGTCAAGTAGAGTGAGTGCATCGATAAAATCCGCGCCTGTAGCCAATGGAAATGAGACTGCAAGTCCAGCATACATGGTGACGGTCTTGGGATCTGCGTCTTCCAAGATCTTGGACATCATCTGCAAGATCTGACCTCCATTTTTGAGCGAGTTGTGGTTGTTCTTGTCGCGAACGCATGTACTCATTGCGATTCTGAATGTACCAGGCGGGGGCGTGATACCCTTGTCCATCATGTCTTGTTGCAAGAGCAGCACTGCAGCACTAGAGGCACGATTCTGACGGAGATTGCGCAGACGCATGTTGAGGTTGTTCACATCAGCAGTGATCTTGTACGTTGTTGGGTCGGTCAAGAGGTCCCAGTATTCCTGCGCGGCCTTGTTCGCCACAATCTTTTGGCATGCTTCTTGGACCAAGGAAAGCGTGTTGTTGCCCGGTCGAACGTAGATGAGAGGATTTGATACTGCACTGCCGACGCCTTGAGGCGTCAGAGCAAGGAACTCGTCACCACGCGTTGGGGCGTTATCTGGAGAGAGATGGTCGTCATCGATACGGTATTGTTTCGGTACGTTTGGTGCTCGCACGCGTGGAAGGCCAGCACTTTGTCGCTCGACTGAGCCTAATCGAGGAACAAGTCGAGGTATGTCCATTGTCTGCTCCACTAAGGAGAGCACGTCGTCCCAGTCTCGCGGTCGACTGCCGATCAATAGCAATCTTCCCATCGCACAGACGAGCTCTTCATCAATAGCCAGATCTGCACGTCGCCATCTCCCAACGATATCTTCCCACATGCGCCGCCCCTCCATGATGCCGCGCTCTTTCCTTGCCGCCGTCTCCTCCTCGCTCTCTCCTTTGGGCGCATCTATCAGCAGATTTTGCCGTATAGCGTTGAGTATGGTGATGTATGTGATGGCATTGGCTGCTGCTGGCCCGTTCTCTGGTATCTTCCCAGCCACACCCCACAAGGCATCCATATCTCCTGCTCTTGCACACACTCTCAGCGCAGCATTCGTGTGCATGATCGATGGCTCGACTCGGGAATTCGGTGCGGAGAGCGAGTGGTAGATGGAGAGGGCTTTGCTAAGAACGCCGGATGTATGCGCATTCCACGAGAGGCCTCTGAGAAGAATCGTGTACGTGTAGGAGTCTGGGAATTGCGCGCGCTTCTTCATCTGTGGCAAGTCAGCATTACCCCTCATGTCTTCGCGCAGGCTATGCGTACATCGTTGTAGACCTTGATCGCATCATTGACCCTCTCTTTGGCCAGGTAGTGGTCAATGATGTGGTTCCAGCTGACAATGCACTGCATGGAGTGGCTCGCCATGCGCACCAACTGCAGCATCTCTTCCACTCTGTCTTTCTTCAATTCGTTCCTCACAAACGTCGCCAGCTCCAGCGGATCCTGCAAGTGACGCAGCTCTCTTTTCCTCCTGTTCCAGTCGCTATCAGACATGGACGGGTCTCGCCGGCCGAGCCTCGCTAGATTGGGTGTCTCGTCGTCTGGCTGGCGTGCCGACGACTGTCGCAGCGCTGTAGTTTCCCTCCTCTTCCGGTTCGCCGCGAAGGCCGACTTCTTGAAGTGGTCCTCTCCATCCCGGTTGAATCCCCCTGTTTCGCGCGAAACGGTCAACCCCTCACTCTCCGCGTTGGTGGCACCGTGGGAGGATAGCAGCCGTTGCTGGTTCGGGTGGAGGAGTAAATTTCCGCTACGACGGAGGCGGTGCGCATTGGTGGCCGGGACATCGAGCGCCTGTATGCATCGCCAAAGACAGGCACGGCAGTTCAGCATCAGGTCGAGAGAGCGGTTCGTTATGGACAAATGGCGTGGCATGTTCTAGTCTGGAAAAGTTGCCCACTCGGTAGCGCCCCATCTCCGGGCCGAACACGCCAGCACGTGATGACCCGAGACCGGATCGCCCGTACCGAAGAGGAGCCTCATCTGTGTACTCGCGTGCTACTCAAGACGGCGTTAGCACATTAGCAGGTCTGGTATGCCGCTATGAACCGCGCCGCCTCCAGCACGTCCACTCCGCACGCGAAGAAGCAACCCAGCCTAGGTCAGACTTCCCGCGCCCCTCTAGCAGCAAACCATGCCTACCGCCAACAAGGCTGAACCTACACTACGCGCCTCCGAGCCTCTGGAGCCGAATCAACGCTATATCGCGGGAGCCAGAGCCAGCCAGGCGCACCACCATCATAGGGCTTACTTTGATCCTTCCCTTCTAACCCCAGCGACCTAGCAAGCAAGCAAACTAACACTGTCGCATAATGTCTGGCGTACGGCAGGGTCTGGTGCTAGCGCAATACCGCCCATTGAATACACATGCGTCTCGGCCGATGTTTTCGCTTTGTTTACTAACACTGCTGAAATCTGGCAACATCAGACGTTCGTCGATATCATACACAAGTAATGCTCGTCCAGCATCATCATCGGTGAGATGAACATGCACACCGAGCACCAGAGAATTTGCCCTTTCACAGCAGAGCCCGACGTGGCGGGATCAGGGTTCAAAAGGGCCATCATGTAGGTAAGCCTGGTAGTCGGCTGTTTAGGTGCTACAGGGCCCGTACGTCTGGCATCTGTTGCAGGGAGGATTGCGTGATTAGTTTCGTGTGAGGCGACGCTGGCATTGTATGGACGGGAATCTGCGCCGCTGTTGCTTGTGTCCTGTACGAGGCGAGACTGCTGTGCCTGTGCTGCGTGTGAGGTGGTTGCTGTTGTTGTGGGTGCTTGGAAGCGGTGCACAAGACAGATCCGTCTGCGGCCACCGTTTATGACCTGAACGGTCTATCGTGTGCATCTGCAACCTCACGATTGGTAGACCGGCATGCTCATTTGCCTTGACGCGTTGTCTGACGAACAAAGATCCAACGGTGGCACAGCGCCAGTAGATGCACGCCCACATCCAGGACCCTCGTCCCCTCGTGGCATCGGGACCGAATCCTTCAGCCCAGGCTACTGCTGTGTAACATGTGCTACCCAGCCCTTGACACGTCCATGCCTTAACCAGCGACAGTAGCACAGCGAGCGCATGCACACCATCCTGCTAGTTTCCGCCGTCAGTCATGGACTGGCGGCGCCGTTAATGTCTGCCACGCCAGCCAGCGCCTGCCACTCCCCTGGCTAGCTTGCAAGCCCGCTACCCCAGTGCCCTTTGCAACGGCGCGCCCAGAAAGCAACCCAAGGGCCAGCGCTCGGAGCATCAGCGTAGTTTGATCGGACAACGGTCTGATGTGCCACTAGACGGCGATCGTGCAGATGCGCCTTTGCAAGATGCTAGCGTGTCGATGGTAATTCCTAGTCGGCTTCGCGTTCAATGTACGCATCTCGATGTGCATCGTCTGCGGAAGTCGCTGCGATAATCATCGACGTCGCCTATGCCCAGCTTCTTTGTTGAGTCGCTCATCCTGGCAATTTGCTGCAGAATTTTCTTTCCTTTGGCGCGGCGGTTTGCCGGTGAGGGACCCAGACAGAGGCGTCATCACTCATGCGCATTCGGATGACATTGCCCAACACGATCACCATCGGAATCTTTGACCCAGCGTGCCGCGGCAGGAAACAGTCCATGCGCCACCGTTCTCCAAGATAGAGCTTGCTTTTTTCATGAGTGGAGAAGAGTGTGTGGGAAACTTCGCCAGCCATTCATCGAATGCATCTCTCCTGCCCCCAGCGGACCGTTCGTCAGGGCGCGAACGCTCGCATGACCAAGCAAAAGTGATCCGAGGATTGCTTCGTGCAATCGTAATCGATGACACGGAGTAACAGGCCATACGCCCCTCCCCTCTTATTCTCGGTAATATTGAACAGCGAATATGCACTCTCGCCGTCCTATCAGCGCTCACGGCGGCTGTCTCTCGTTACACAAAATCACCCACAGGCACACTTACTGCACGCGAGACGACCACACGCATACACTTCCCATCGACACACCGAGCTTCCGCTTGTGTCGCTATTCTCGCATGCAAATGTCGAGTGTCATATCGGCATGCAATTAATATATTTTGACTATACAACCATCATGCAGCCATAATTCCTTGTGCCATTCCCACCCACATTCCGCTCCTTCCCTATTCGATACGAAGAGTGTGCCTCAGAACTCAGTCGAACCCAGGCGGTACTTTCCATTGACCCTGAATACGAGCCTGCCCTCCTCATTGTGGTATGTGTGCTATGCGTCATCACCGGCGTAATACAACCTGCCTCCAACTATGTTGCGACATGGCCATGTGCAATCGATTGGCTGCTCGCGTTCAGATTATTCTACATGACACCCCTGCCCCGGGCGAATCAGCACGCAGGTCGGAGCCAGCAGAATAAGTCGTGTACTCGAGTGAGGTGACACTTGAGAAATTCGCGGTCAGTTTTTGAGCATTTGTGGTCTGATGCCTCGATGCGATCTGAATCCGAGACGGAGGGATGCTCGGGCAGTTCAGTGGTCTTGCAGTGTGTGTGCGTACGTGGCGGCAGGCATGCGAGTGATAGAGTGAGGAGCTGATCACCGCTGCGAGGGCATGGACATGCATGTGGTGCTAGAGCCTTGGAGTGTAGAGAAGCGAGGCACGTCCTGTAAGTCCCATCTATCTATGCTGAGCCTTGAAACACGCACAGACGCTGAGATGTCTTGAATACGTCCAAAACAATCTGGTCTGGCCATGGAGCGCCTTCGCATCAATCATGAACTAAACGAGACATGCAGACAGTCGGGCAAGTACGGCGACAGTGCAGTACAAGGCACGACGTGATATAGACGTACACGGCAATGTCTTGGTTGGGGAACGGTACGCTTCAGTCACAGCGTCATCTTTCCGCACCCTTTGATTAGCTTCAAGCGGAACCGTCTGATCATGCGACTATACATCGTGTGAAGTACACGATACCGGAGTTGGAGGCAAAAGCCGACGGGTAGTATCATGGTGACCCAGAGTCAACTTCACATTGGTTTGTTCCACGTTGCCTGTGCGAGGACACGAAAGCGGAAACAGAGGCTCCAATGATGCCCAGCGATGTTCCCAAGAAGATCACACGATAAGCGAAACATGAGAGCAAATGAGCGATCAGATGAAGAGTAATAGGTAGATTGTTTCTTGTTTCAAACGCCTTTTTGCATGCAATGGTTCTAGCCCCCAATATGAACAGGTCTGTCTTCGGGATTTTGGAAAGCCTCTTGAAGTGATGGAAGATGAGAGGAAAACCGATAACGCAACCTGCATAACGTATGTTCGAACAGCTATCCTCGCCCTCACTTTCATGGTATCTCTCGAGACATTGTAGCAACTCCCCGACATCGATCGTTAGACCATTTTCAGACCGAGCATCGGTGCTGAAGTAACCTCCGTTGTGAACACAACCAATTAGAAACATACAGCCGCCACCAAATGGAAATGCAAGCACCGCCCCATAGGAAAGATGCTGAAACTGTTGCATAGGCTCGCAACATATAGGCAAAGAACCACCGTAAGGAGAGTCGTCAAGACTCGCTTGCTCTATGCGACGGAGCAAGCGAGTGCGCTTTTGGTATACCTGAATCTTGACCATCTTAATCGTCTTTAAACAGGTCATCGAAGGGGTCGGCTTCTGGACTGGCAGGACGTTCCTAGTGGTTCTGCTGGTACATTTGCGGGTTTTGTCCGTAGGGCGACTGGGGGTAACTGCTGTTGTTACTATTTGGACTGTTGTACGCATTGCTGTTGGGGGTGGCATACTGAGCCATGCCCTCGGGGAGACCTGGACTCTGCGTGCCGTACTGAGGAGCAGTGCTGTTGCCAGAGGCTGCAGGTTGGTACCCGATGGGAGGAAGTTGGGGATGTTGAGGAGGTTGACCAGGGACGCCGACCGCCTGTCGCATCTGTCCATAGACAGGCGCTTCAGGAGCGCCTCCTTCGTGAGCGCGCTGCTGCACGTCGGCGCGGTGTCGCTCTTCGTCGGCTTTGCGTGCAGCCTCTTCCTCCTTCTTCTTTGCTTTCCATTCTTTTCGGATTTCTTTGAACTCTGTAAGGTGAAGTTAGCATCGTATATCAGGAGTGTTAAGACGCCAAGAGAATTAGGCATGGGTCGACAGCTATTAGCTTCCGTCATGAGAAGCTACCCAGTGCAGCGGGGACACGACCATTATGGCGCTGCGCCAGCACGATCCCAAGGGCCAACCTAGCGCACTAGTTTTGCAAGGGCCACAACTACAACAGCAATTGATGTACCATGAAATGGAAAGAACATACCTTCAGGAGTGCGCTTTGCGCCGTGCGATTGCATTGTGACGTGCGCATTCAAATGATTCAGAGTACCATATGCTTTCTCGCAACCATTCCAACCGCATTTGTACATGCGTTCAATTTCTTCATAGCGCCGACGTGGTCGCTTATGTTGTTGTGCGCCAGGAATGGGTACAAATGAGTATACTGTGGATAGCGGATGTCCGCCCTAATTGTGATGGTCAGTTTAAGGGTTCGACCACGTTGTGACAAACGAGTAGCGCGACAACAAGCGCATGCGACGCGTGCCGGCTAGCTGGTTGAAATGCGAAGCTAGATTTACTTACAGTGGGTGGTCGCTGAACTGGAGAGACCATTGCAGGCGCAGGTGGCCCAGAAGTCGCAGGATGCCCGTAGTGCATACCTGGCTGAGGGTAGTGGCCTGCCCATTCAGGTCGCGAAGGGTACCCCATGGGAGTTTGGGGCTGCCCTGGGTAATGCTGCATGTCGTGGTGAGGTGTGTAAGGCGAGTACTGCTGCTGGTGGCTTGCATATGTTGGGCTCGTCTGCGCGGCGATTGATGGATCTATAGGAACATCCGAGTCAGACTTGAGTTGTTGTGGTGATTGATGGCCATTTGCT